TATCAATTTGTTTAGATCAAGTAGTTTGCTTTATGAATCTTGATGCACCTAAGTTGGGTGCATACATATTTAGGATTGTTATGTCTTCTTGTTGAACTGTACCCTTCGCCATTATATAGTGACCCTCTTTGTCTTTCGTTACTTTTGTTGATTTAAAAACTAAGTTATCTGAAATCAAAATCACCATGCCAGCCTTCTTTTGGCTTCCATTTGCTTTAAATATTGATTTACACCCCATTTACCTTGAGTCTAAATGTATCCTTGCAGGTTAGATGTGTTTCCTGAAGACAGCAGATACTTGGTTTGCATCTTTTTATTCATTTGGCTAGCCTATGTCTCTTGAGTGGGGAGTTGAAGCTATTCACATTTATTGAGAGAACTGATAGGTGGGGCAAATCTCTGTTCACCCTATTGGGTTGAACTTTGTTGTTTTGTTCTCTCTCTTGAGCCATTGTGGTATCTGGCCTTTGATCTTTAGCTTTTGAGTGGGTTTACATTCATGAGTGTTTCTTGTGCTGATCCATGTGTAACTCTGTTTTAAGTACTTCTTGGAGGGCTGGTCTTGACTTGGTGAATTTTGTCAGTCTTTGCTTATGTAAGAATGTCTTTATTTCTCCTTCATATACAAAACTTAGTTTTGCAGGTACAAGATTCTAGGCTGGGCATTATTCTGTTTCAGAAGAATGTGAATGGGGCCCCAGTCTCTTCTTGCTTGTAAGATTTCAGTTGAGAAGTCTGGAGTTTTCCTTTGTATGTTACTTGTTTCTTTCACCTTACAGCTCATAGAAGGGCCTCTTTAGTGGATATTTTGGTCAGTCTGATGACTGCATGATGTGATGTTTTCCTGTTTGCATTGAATCTCCCACAGGTCTTTGAGCTTCTTGTATCTGGATATCTAGATTTTTAGTAATGCCTGGGAAATTTTCCTCTATTATATCTTCAAATAGCTTATCGAACCCTTGCGTGTTTTCTTCTTCGCCCTCAGGGATGCTCATAAGTTTCACGTTAGGCTTCTTCACATAATCCCACATTTTTTGTAGGATTATTTCTTTTCTCTTAATTTTCTGCTCGATCTCTGTGACTGACTTATTTAATTGGAAGGTGTTATCTTCAATCCCTGAGATTCTTTCTTCTGTTTGATCTACCCTGTTCTTGAGGCTTTACACTGTGTTTTGTAGTTCTTTGAATAAATTCTTCATTTCCAGGAGTTCAGTTTGATTTTTCCTTAATATTTCAATTTCTTTAGTGAATTTTTCTTCCAAGTCCTGGACATTTTTTGTGATTTCTTTGTGTTGGTATTCATTTTTTCTTGCATATCATTGAGTTTCCTTACAATCCATGTTTGAAATTCTTCTTCTGTCATTTTAGTGTTCTGAATTTGGTTAATGTCAATTGCTAGAGAGTTGGTGTTCCTCTTTGGGGGTATGCTTTCCATTTGATTCTTCATACTTCCAGAGTTCTTTCACTGGTTCCTTCCCATCTGGATCAGTTGTTGCTTCTTGCCTTTAGATTTTCATTTGGATAATGACACGCCCTGTTTATTCTGAGCCAGTAGGTGGTGGTTGTCAGTGAGATTCGACAACACCCCTTATGATGAGTCAGTAGATGCAGTAAAAAGGTGGCAGAATGAACTCCCTGGCAGTAGGTGGCGCTTGCTGGGAGGAGCAGGTTGCAGGGTTGTTTTTGGGTCCTGCAACCAGCTCTTGTTTCTCTGGAGAGGCACTCTTGTGCCTCAGGTGGTGGGTGGGGCCCTGGGACTTCCACGTGTGTCCTCGTTCTCCACCTCAGTGGGGGTAGGTCAGGGAGTGAGTCTGGTCAGAACAGAACTGGGTTGGGTAAGCCTGCCCTCAAGTTCCACAAATGGTGTTTTCAGGGACAAAGGTCTGTTCTCTGCTTCTGGGCAATGCTGCCAAGGAGGGGCTGAAATGGCCTCACTCAGCTGAAAAGTCTGTATGTAGGAGTGGGGTTGTCTGAGACCTGGAGTCTGGAGCAGGCCTCACTTCTTTCCACCCTGCCCTATTCCGCACTTTCTCCTGGCCTCTGCCAACAGGTAGGACCTTAAGCCAGTGGATCTCCCCTGGCTGTGATGCAGGCTGGGAGGTTCCCTGCCCAGGATCACAGCCTGGGCTGGGCACACGGCCTTCCCGTGGGAGGAAGATTGCCCCTCAAGCACACTGATCTGCCCCTGAAGGCACACACACCTCTGTAGGCTCATTCACAAATATTCCTTCTGTGCCTCAGGGCAATGTGATTGAGACCTGGGTATACGGGGTCTGGTTTGCAGGCCTGTCCCCTGGAGATCAATCCCTGCCCCTGCCAGGGGGAGGAGTACTGGTCTCAAGTCACCCATGGGGTGCCCAAGCTGGATCGATGTCACTCCACCTTGGGATTTGCCCCATTCTGCCCTGGAGTCTACCAGGCTAGCAGCACCTCGGAGGGCTGGTGGGTAGGTAGCTCACAGTCTGAGTACCCCTCAGTCTGCTGTAGGGCTCCAAAAGGAATGGTCCCGTTCCTTGGAGATGCCTCCATGTGATTACTAAATTGTCTCTCTGGACACCTACAGGTAAGGATGGGGAAGGAGAGAATAAAGCAATATGGCACCTGCTGATCTGCTCAGGTCTGCAGGCTGGGAGGTGCTCTGTCCTCAAGAGGCTCACTGGTGGCAGCCGTCTCTGGGCTGGTGATGGCAGGTCTCTCCAACCACTCAGTAGCCCACCAGCAGTCCGAGATGCAAGGGAGGGGAAAGTTAACTGCTCCACCTACCCTTGTCACTGGTCTTCAAGCCTCTCGGTGGCCTTTCTCCTTCAACTTCTCTGCAACGTCTTCCCATGGTGTCTCCCATAGTTTCAGACACCTTTCAGGCACTGACTCTCATCCAATCTGATTGTCTGCTCGTTTATTTTTTTTCACTTTCTTCTAAAATCTGCCTTTTTTGCAGAGATATGCCAGTTGGTGGTTTTTCTCATCCACCATCTTGAATCACCCTGAGATTTTGATTTTTGAGTTATTAAAATATAGGGGTAGGGCAGGAGTTACCCAAGAAGAGTTATATGGAGGAAGAGTGCAGAGTGAAAAGGAGGACAGAAACTGTAAGTGCATTAACTCTTGGTAGGGGTGGAGGTAGGGCAGTGGTAGAGGAGCCCTTGACCAAAACTAAGGGAGGAAGAGAGACGGGTCATAGAAGTTTCATGGAGGAGGCCAGCCTGCAATAAATTGTTTGGGATGAAGGCTGAGAAGAGACTATTTTATTGAAGTAGAAATCGCTTGATGATCTTGAAAAAATAATAAGTGTGGGAGGGGCAGAAGCCAGATTCAGACTGTAGTGTGGTGAGGAAGGAATAATTGAATGTTTGGGAGTTGAGGAGGTAGAAGTGTTTTCAAGATAAATTGCTGTGTACTAAATAACCTTTATTCGTTTATTCAACAAGTATTTATATACTGCCTACAATGTGCCAGAAACTGTTCAAGACATATCATAATTCAACATCCCTGTAGATTCCTTCCACTATCTTGCCCTCTAAGTTACTTGACTTCTTTCCTCATGACCTCTACCCAACTTCAGTAACTCATTCTCCCTGTCATAGTCCTCCTGTGTCTTCCTCAGCTCAGTCAATGGCACCTCCCCTCTTTCAGCTGCACAGCAAAAACCCTTGGTACTATCCTTGACTTCTTTCTTTTTTTGCACATCTCACATTTGGTCTCTCAGTAAGTTATTTGGCTCTACCTTTCACTGACACAGAACTTGATCATTTCTCATTATCCTCACTACCATCACTTGGTCCTGGCCCCTATCTTCCCTTTCTGCACCATTGCAATACCTGTTTACTGTCTCCCTGCGTTTGTTGCTTTCCTTCAGATTACGCTCAAGAAAGCAGCCAGAGAAGTTCTGAAAAAAATGTGAGTCATGACATGCCATGTCACTTTCATTTGCTTCCCATTTTACTCAGAGTAAAAGCCAACATTTTTAATAAGGCTGGACGGGATCTGCCCACCTCTCTTATTATCTCTCTGATCTCATCTTTGAGACTTCTCCCCTCTTTCACTCTGCTCCAGCCATACTCATCTCCTTGCTATTCCTCAAGCACACTGCACGTGCTGTTGTTGCAGGATCTTTGCAAATGCTTCTCATTCTTCTGGGAATGTTGTCCCAAGATATTCACATTGCTATTCCCTTACTTACCTTTGTTGGGTCTTTATATAAATGTCATATTTTCCCTAAAGTCTTCAAAAATTTTAGCTCATACTCTGAAAACTTCTTCTCTGCTTTGATTTTTAAAAAAGACTTTAGAACTTAATATCCAGCATACTATTTGTGTGTGTTCATTTTTATTATCCATTTCTCCCAAAAGAATGTAAACTCCATGAGAGCAGGGATTTTTGAAAGTTTTGTTCATTACTGCATGATTAATACAAACTAAATATTTGTTGAATTTATAAATCTGTGAACAGATGGGAACACAATAATGAACAAAAAGGTATAAATCACTGCCCTCATGACAGTGATCTAGTTAGGGAAAAAAGAGAAGAAACAAAATAAACAAGTAAAATATATAGACTGTTCAACACTGATAAATTCTGTGATGGAGAAGCAGTGTCAATGGAAGATTCTTTTCTACGGGGACATTTTAAACATTTTTACAAATAATAAGGAAGCAGCAAAGGCAGAGAAAAATTGAAGTGATGAAATTAAAGAAGAATAATCTATTAAGTAGCAAATGACCCACAGGGTTTGTATAGACCTAGGTGAAGAGACTAATCCTGAAAAGAAACAGAGATAACCCACTGATTAAGGAGTAAAGGAAGAAGCATAATTAAGTGAAATATACAGGAAGAAAGACTTAGAAATGCTATGTTTTCCGGTGAAATAAGTTGCCTCACTTGTATTTTCATACCTAAGAGTTTCACAATGTTAGGGTTGTCAAATTCTGCCATGAGGGCTGCCTCCCTTTGAAAGTCTGCTTGCATATCTGCTGAGGCTTCTTCTTTGAGCATCTTTACTGCCACCATAGTGAAAGGTTCATAGGGAAGTAAGCCTGGAGCCCTGAAAGATAAATTTATTGAGAAAGAAACCAAAGATCAGGAACATTATATATGCCCCATTATATCCACTCACATTTATGCATGTCTTCCCACTCCTGAAGCCTTTCCCAGAGCCACAGAATCAAAGGAAGATGACAGTAGTAGGTCATACTTACAACTTGTTGACTCCAATTGATAAAAATCGCTTGGATTATTTTCAACATAGATTACGTTCTGAAAATGTATTATTTATAAATTATTGGAATTATAGAGTACATAGACCGAATGGGATTATCATCGCCATCCTAACCCCCTAATCTTTGGCCAGAATCTAAATTCCTTAAAGGCAGGAACCATGGATTACTCATTTTTATATCCCCCATAGAGCCTAAGTTGGTGCCTTGCAAATTTTGGTTTCAATAAGTATTTGTGTGAGATTTTCATTATTCATGTAACCTCTATATCAGAGCCACTATGAGTGGAGGTAAGGTTGTGTCTTGCCCAAGAGCACAAGACCAAAGTCACGGTTGGTGGTTAAAACTAAGTCCACATTTTCTGGCCCGGCTACGTGTCTGTGGAGCTGCACCCGTGCAAGTCAGTATTTTATTCCAGTTCACACAAAGGCAAGAAATAGGCTCGTGCTGGCCCTAATACGTACTCCTTTCTTGAGCTCATTGTTTTCTATATTATGTTTTCCTTTTCTTTTTGTTATTCCATGAACATCTACTTAATATCTACACATTAAAATAATGCAAGAAATTATGATTAAAAATGTGTGACATTCTTTTCTGAAAAGGAAATATAATTGAACTATTATAATTTCTTGTCATTTGAAAACTATATAAATGAAGATACATTTAGATCTCCTATAAATTACTTCTTTTAAATGCAATAAAATAAACACTCCTATTTTCCAGCAAAGATGGGAAATTATTAAGATTCAAAGTATATTACACAATACAAATAAAGTTAATGATGTAAAGAATTAACTAATGCGATAATAACTATTATACATGGTATATTACATCAAGCTAATGGTCTGGTAACATAGTTCAATGGAGAAATTTTTTTTTTCATGGGTAAACTTTACCTTGCTTGAAAGACTCTTCCAAATGCCCCCTCTCCGATATCTCTCACATATTCAATGTTATTCCTTGGATACTCTAAGCTTAGCAGCTTGGGATTCAGAAGGAGTGGCATCCTCTGGTACATGGGGTTGGGATGAAGTCTGTCTAGCAGGAGCTCAGAAGGCAGTGTTGTGAGGGTTACTGCTGCTGATTCTCTGCAGGCAAGACAGGCAAGATCAATAATGAGCTTAAGGGCATTGTGTTAGATTCTAAGCAAAATGGCATTTAAGAGTAAGCAAAGCAAATCATACTAAGGCAGCCAAAGGTCCTTCAGTTTGAGAGCAATGAGGTATTTTGTCTGGTCTAAGGCACAATTACTCAGGAATTTTGTCACTATCCAAACTGGCAGTGGCAATGGAACTGAGAGGGAAGATGGGGAGCAGGAATAGCTATTTCCTTCCAAATTATCTGTTGTGAAAGATTAACCTTAGGACATGTGATCCTATGCAAAACATCATTTACACTTTTAGAGATCATTGTGGGGGTGCTTAAGAGACTGGCAGTGTTATACACATTCCTCTTCCAATATTAAATACGTAGGTTTTAAAATATTATTTTTACATGTGCTTAGCTTAAACTAGAATCTCACCTTTTATTATTTTTCCATTGTTTTCTTCTTCGGCAGCAATAAAGAGTAGTTATAGTAAGAAGCACAAATATTGCAAAGCTGGACATGATGGAAATTATTACAGTCATGGAGTACGTAGGAGAGACCGAGAAGGAAGAAGAGGAGGAGGAAGGCAAATTTGGAATGTCCACACTCGGCTTTGAGGACATCATTGGTGGGAATGCTGTAAGTAAAAAATAATTCTTTTCATTCATTCTCAAACTTTTAAGAAGCAATTTTTGTATTCAAGCAATCAGTAAACCAAATGTTAAGAACATATATGTACCCAGTTCTCTCTGGTTATATATTTATAAAGTCCAGTTGTAAGAATTCAGTGAGACCTTGTTGTAAGTAAATCTAGCTTATAGAATCACAGAATTATAAAGATGAGACTCAGGGAGAGGACAGTTTTTTCTAAGATAAATGCAGATCTTGGGCTAGTGCTCTTTATACTGCATCATATTGTTCATGACCTGACGATAATTATAAAAATTGTTAAATAAAATATTTTCATGTAATTATATTGTCTAGAGCTGAGCTTTTATACACATTGACTGTCAGTTTACAAACAATAGAAATAATGGAAGATGAATAGTGAAAATATTAAGACACAAATGAACAGAAGTTAATTCATCTAAAAATCGAAGTCCGGTCAAACTCTAATTTGAAACTGCAATATACAAACAAGTAAAATCTACATTGCTACTGGAAACCAAAAGATGCCACACTCATACCACTGTTTGTAGAGTGCAGTCCATTGTATACGCATTAAACAACCTTATTAATTATATTTTAAACCCTCTTAACAGATTGAGTAGAGGCAAAAACAGGGATACAGAGTATTTTAATATAATTAACAAGAATGTTTTAATAGCTAAGAATGAACTTCGTACTCCAAAAAGAGAGAATCAGCCTTCTCTTCAAATATTTGTGGAATACTGACAGATATGATTTTAAGTCAAGCCACAAAGATAAATCTCAATAAATTTCAAAAGCAGAAATTATGCAGACCTAATTATTGACCAAAATGCAATTAAACCTTCTTAACAGATTGAGTAAAGGCAAAAACAGGGATACAGAGTATTTTAATATAATTAACAAGAATGTTTTAATAGCTAAGAATGAACTTTGTACTCCAAAAAGAGAGAATCAGCCTTCTCTTCAAATATTTGTGGAATACTGACAGATATGATTTTATGTCAAGCCACAAAGATAAATCTCAATAAATTTCAAAAGCAGAAATTATGCAGACCTAATTATTGACCAAAATGCAATTAATAATAGATTAATTAAAATCCAATAGGACATTTTAAAAAAATCAATACATTTTTGATCAAAAAGTAAAAAGTATCCATAGTTACAGATCAGAAAAAAAGTCCTAAGAGTGTGTATGAGATTTAGCCAAAGTTTTGCTCAATGATAAACTCAAAGTGCTATCTTCTTCCACTAGATGAAAAAAATGAAAATGCATGAATGGAACATTTAACTTCAGACTTTGGACAAGAAACAATAACTACATGAAACAAAAGAAAATAGGTGATAAAATGAGTCATATACAAGTAGAAATTAGTAAGTTAGAATACATATAACACAAATGACAGAATTAAAAATAGGTCAATAGTTGGTTTTATAAATAAAGTAGTCTAACTTTAAAAAGATGGGAAAGGTACAAACAGAAATTACAATAGATTCAAAGGTCGATAAAAATAAAATAATACGTAATTATGCAATTACATTTTTTAAACCTAAGGAAAATCATAGGTATATATTAATTACAAAATTTGAAGAATTAGAAAATAAGAATATAGACATAAGCAGAAAATTAGTTTCAAAAGTCATTATTGAATCATGAATACATTTTTCTGTCTTGGAAAAGATGAAATATCCTTATTTTATAACATGTTCCAGTAAGAGAAAAATCTTTCAAATTCTTTCAGGGAGTTATAATACTAATATCACAACCTGGCAATATTAGCACAAAAGAAAAGCACACACATAGATTCTATAGCACAGATTTAGAAGATCCTAAATGAAATATTAGCAATTGACTGCAATACAGTCAGAGAATAATTATTTAATATAAGGGAATATATTAAAAAGTTACGTTACAAAGTCATTACAAAGTCAAAAGAAAACCTTTATTGCAGCAGATGCCATTTTGGAATAGGGCATTTGTAAAATTGTAGGTTATCAGGCATACTCATGTATGACTTCTTAGTCTAGAGATGGACCCAGTGATTATGCCTGGAGCATCGATGGTTATATAAGTGATTCTGAAGCATGTGGAAGACAAGTTTGATCACCACTGTGACTCCAGAAGGCACCTGGAACTGGAAGAAGTTAGCACAGCAGTAAAACATCTGTGCCAGGACCAAGGACAGCATGCCTCATTAAACACCACAGCAGTGGTGGACTTAAGAGACTTCCCAGGTTCTTCTCTGACTGGCTTGAAAGCTGGTCTGATTCTCTTTGAACTGAGTCATTCCTGTATTTCTTAATCTAAGATAGGTGGGGAGATGGGCTTTAATTGGAGAGTTATGTTTCCTGCTAATAATAAAGTAGGAGTAATTATTGAAAGACAGGGAGAAATGACTATTTCTGTATTTGAATTTTATAGAGCAGCTCATACTAAATATCATATAGAAGGAATATAATGTAATTTGTAAAGTTGGTAGTGCAATCTCATTAGTAAATGTAAGTAATTTTTCTCAAAATATCAGGAAGTAGAATTTAATGGCATGTTAAAAGAAAAATTCATGATTATTTAGTAAGATTTATTTATTTGTTTGTTTGTTTATTTTTTGAGACAGAGTCTTGTCCCATTGCCCAGGCTAGAGTGCAGTGGCATCATTGTATCTCAGTGCAACCTCAAACTCCTGGGCTCAAGCAATCCTCCTGCCTCAGCCTCCCGAGTAGCTGGGAATGCAGGTGCGTGCCACCACACCCAGCTAATTTTTCTATTTTTTGTAGAGATGGGGTCTTGCTCAGGCTGGTCTCAAATTCCTGGCCTCAACTAATCCTCCCGCCTCAGCCTCCCAAAGTGCTAGGATTATAGGCATGAGTGACCATGCCCAGCCTAAGATCTATTTTTAAAATGCAAGAAGTAACATAGTTTGAACAATAATTTTGCTCTATGGATTTAAATATTTGTTTCAGGGTAGTTCTGTTTTGTTATTCCTTGATTATTGCTCTTGATATTTTATCTGGTCTTCCCTACAGCTATATCAATTATCTCTTTGGATTCAAATTATCAATTTGAATCTTTGTTCCTTTTCCTTTTTATTTGTTTTCTTTTCTTATCAATTATATCTCTTTATCCTTTTCCCCTGAACACCAGGGGAGTTTATTCACTCATTTATCCATATATTGATGCATTCATTAAAACTATATTGACTGTTAGGTATCAAGAATACTGTGGTGGGCCTGTCAAGTCCTTGCTTGTCATGAAAACAAATTAGTAAACAGATAATTACAATAAAATTTCTGAAGAGTTGTAAGAGTGGTAAGAACAGGATGCCCATGAGCATTCAGAGCAGCATAAACTTGGGTTTAGGCATACCAGGTAGGTTTCTAGAGTAAGTAACTTTAAGTAAGTTAAATATAAATGGTGAGTAAGCAATGGCAATTGAAGGTTGCTATGATCTGAGTATTTGTGTCCCCCCAAAATTTGTATGTTAAAATCAATGAGGGAAGAGCCCTCATGAATGGGATTAGTGTCCTTACAAAAGAGGTCTGAGAGAGCCCCTTCTGCCATGTGAGGTGATAGTGAGAAGGTGGCTACGTCCACGAGGAAACAGGCCAGATACCAAACCTGCTGGCACCTTGATCTTGGACTTCCCAGCCTCCAGAACTGTGAGAAATAAATTTCTGCTGTTTATAGGTCACCCAGTCTATGGTATTTTGCTAATATAACTGAACAGACTAAGATATGGGTGTGTCTGTGTTGGGGAGAAAAGGGGTTGGGGAAATTAAGGGAGTAGAGTCAGGATGGAGAGAGAGTGTTCTACAAAGAAGAAATAGCATATACCAAGGTCTTAACCAAACAGTTGTGATGCCTTCCCAAAAGTGACCCTAAAAGTTTCATTGTTTGAGTTGGGGAGTATCTACAGTTAAGGTTAGAGATTTTAGGTTTAGGTCATAAAAGTCCTTGTATGCCAATTTAAGTAATCTGGATGCCCTGAAGCAAATGGAGAGAGTCATCAGTGGGCTTTAAGCAGTGGAGTAGCATGATCAGCTTTTGGCATTAGAAAGAGCTTATGGCTGTAACCTGAATTTTCATGATAAAATATTCCCACCAAGGCTGATTTCAAGCTACTAACATGACATTCTGAACACAGAGTTGTAAAGAGATGTTCAGTGGCACATTGTTACATAGGATTTCCATTATATAGACATTGTAGATAAAGAGAAAATCTAAAAGTTTCTATCTAGTGGGAAAGAACAAGTTACTTATAGGAAAAAATAACCAAGCTCACATTGGAATATTCATGTTCAAAATCAGGAGCTAGATAGAGCTGGAACGCATTCTACTAAGTGAGGTATCCCAAGAATGGAAAGACAAGCACCACATGTACT